AGCCGGGGGGCAGGGCGGGTAGGACCCAGCCCCGGTGTCCCCTCCCCTTCTGGGAGACAGAGAGGCGGGGACCCGGCCGTGGTCTGCCACACTGGGGTGACGGTGGAGGAGTCACAGGGGAAGTCACCTGGGAAGTCACGGGGGAAGCCAGGGCAAACCCCGAGGGGTCCCACTCAAGCTCCCCCTCCAACTCGACTATGGAGGGAGGAGCGTCAGAACAGCAGTCTGGGACCTCCTCAGGGACATGGGCCTCAGGCGATGCCATCTCAGGCACTGCAGGGGCCACGGGAGCCGCGGGGAGCTCTGGGGGCTGCACAGGGGCCTCGGATGCTGCAGGAGGGAGCACAGGAGTCATGGGGACCTGAGTGGGGAGTGCAGGAGTCATGGAGCCAGGTGTGTCCCGGTGAAGGGGCAAGCAGCTGCTGGCTTGGGCAGCGAAGCGGTAGGCGGACGGGCTTCGGGCGTCCACTCAGACGAAGCGGTGGTGACGTCACCCGCGAACACCACCGGGTTGAGAATCGGGCGAGGATTCTCCCAACGCGCAGCAGGGCAAGCGGCAGAAAGATAGACGGCCCCCAGACAGACCTCATGCGTGTCCTCCCGTCTTCTACTTCTCCGCTTCTTCTTCCGCGTTCCTGTTGCTGCAAGACCAGGCACCTCGTGAGCCGGCTTAGGTCGCCAGTCAGCCTCCGGCCAGTACAGGCTGGGGTCGCAAAAGGCGTAATTCGCCGGGATCATCCTCAGCACCCTGGGAATGTCCTCCCTCAGCCGATGCACCGGCGAAATACCTGGTTTTTGTTTAGGGAGTCCGGTCATTCTGGCACGATGTACGCGCCCGGAGCGCAGACAAACGCACTGGAAGCCAGGAATCGGGGAACACGGGGTTTAATCAGATGAAAGGCAGGCAATAACACATTGACAATATACATGTAACGTCAATGACCGGACTGGGGAAACGAACGGAAACGTGGACTAAATACACTGGACTAATGACAGCAATCAGAAATAGCTGTAAAACACTGGGAATCCACATGAGGTTAACGAGGGGGGTGTGGCACAGGAGGATTGGCACGATCGGGGCGTGACACCCTGCAAATTATAGTGAACACAATGTAACTGAAGCATGTTTCCCATGTAAATTATACATTTTATACAGGGAAGCTACAAGAGAGAGAAATTGATCACAAAAAGTACTTAGATTTCCAGAAGGCCTTTGATGTTGTCCCTCACAAACGGCTCTTGCTTAAGCTCAAAGCTGCTTGGATTTTAGGAACTGTAGCAGCTTGGATCGAAAGCTGGTTAACAGACAGGAAGCAGCAGGTAGTTATTAGAGGCACAATGTCACAGTGGGCCTGCGTTCATAGTGGGGTACTGCAGAGTTCAATTTTAGGACCACTATTGTTCCTAATTTACATTAATGATATTGACATCAATACATTCAGTAAACTGGATAAATTTGCAGATGACACCAAGGTGGGTGGTGTAGCAGATACTACAGTAGCAGCACAGAGGCTACAACGGAATCTTTATTTAATTAATGACTGGGCCGATACTTGGGAGATGAAATTTAACTCAAATAAATGTAAGGTAATCCATGCAGGGAGCAGACATATAAAGTACAGATATTTTATGGGTTCCACTGAAATAAAGGAAGCTCATTTTGAGAAAGACCTCGATGTGTATGTTGATGCTTTCATGTCCCATTCTCGCCAGTGTGGGGAAGCAATAAAAAAGGCCAATAGGATGTTGGGTTACATCTTTAGGTGTGTGGAGTTTAAGTCAATGGAGATGATGCTAAGATTATACAATTCCTTGGTAAGACCCCACCTAGAATATTGTGTGCAGGTTTGGTCACCTTACCTTAAGAAGGACATTGCTGCCTTGGAAAGGTCTCAACTTAGGGCTACATGAGTGATTCCTGGTCTAAGAGGAATGTCTTATGAGGAGAGGTTAGCTGAGCTGAATCTGTTCTGCACCACATGCACACAACGAAATTCACTTTTAGGTTAATAAAATAAGTCACCTTCTGGACTACTAATCTCATCTAATTGGGTAAGTCTGTCTGTCACTGATTTCATCTAATTAGGTAAGTCTTTCAGTTTCTAACTGTAGGTGCTGGGTGATAATTTGGTAATTTAATCAGTCTCATGTTACACCAAATCCTGCAACTAACAAAAATCTATCTGAAGGCTTTGGGACTTCTTTGGATAGTACACTGGCTTCTGTCTGAATGACCACAAGACAACAATTGATTTTATAGAGAGATTTATTTGCACAAAACAACACTAAACTACAACAAACAATGGACAGATTTAAGGAGGCTGTGAAGCTGGTAGGAAAATGGAGAGTATGATATATGAGTGTGTGACATATGCGACGTGTATGAGAGCATCTGTGACAGGGTAGGTGTGTATGAGAGCGTCTGTTACAGGGTACATGTTTATGAGAGTGTCTGTGACAGGGTACATGTGTATGAGAGTGTCTGTGACAGGGTAGGTGTGTATGAGAGTGTCTGTGACAGGGTAGGTGTGTATGACAGTGTCTGTGACAGGGTACGTGTGTATGAGAGTGTCTGTGACAGGGTAGGTGTGTATGAGAGTGTCTGTGACAGGGTACATGTGTATGAGAGTGCCTGTGACAGGGTAGGTGTGTATGAGAGTGTCTGTGACAGGGTAGGTGTGTATGAGAGTGTCTGTGACAGGGTACGCATGTATGAGAGTGTCTGTGACAGGGTAGGTGTGTGTGTCTGCAATAATACTTATATAATGCTATAATTATATCTAAATGTTATAATAATATTTACCATTATACAGACACATACATACATGTACATATATAACTGTACAAATTATTATAATTATTATAATAATACTATAAACTCACAGAGGATCATGGGTACCAAGCTCCCAGATCTGAACAATGCTTATGCTAGCCGAATATTTAGGAAGGCTAGCAACATTATGAAGGACCCCACTCACCCAGGTTACAAACTGTTTGTCTCCCTCCCATCGGGCAAAAACTTCAGGACCATTCAAATCACAAACAAACAGACTGAGGAACAGCTCTTTCCCGAGAGCAGTGGGCTCCGTCACACCCCTTCCCACAACAGAACACTGACCATTAATCACTTCCACATGTCTGTATTGCTGCTGATATGCAGTTGGTCACTTTACATCACATTGACGTGTAAATACCTATAATCTGTAAATAATTTAAGACTGCACTTGGAAATATAGTTTTTATATTGTATTTTACTAATAGTTATCTTAGGTTTATTTATATTTATACCATA